TGATCACATTTAGGATCGATAGCCGTACTATTAAGAGGGGTGAAACTCGTATCAGAATACGGTTATCAAAGTGTCACTAGATGCTCTAACTCATTGCATATGCATTTAGGATCTAGCGGAGTGCTAACACCCTTAAAAATATTTGTGAAAATATGCTAACACATGTGCAGAAGGTGATACACTTGGTGGTTGGCACATTTGATCAAGGGTGGTGAAGTTTGCATGGGTAAGAAACTCCACCAGCGGAGTGTCCGCCCGTAGAGTGCGGATAGTCCGACGGTGCCACCGGTGCCCTATGCGGAAAAGAAAGACGGTGGTCATCGGTGGTGTGACATGGACGTGATCGGCTCTCGTTGGACCGGTCAAGTGTAACTTTTGATGAAAAGCAGCGGTGGTGTCGGTCAAATGACCGGACGCGTCATGGCGATGTGCGCGTACCGGTCAATGCAATGGCATCTGACTGACGTATTTAGCACACAAAGGAGGCGTTGAGTGACCGGACGGTGGGTGAGTGCCGGTCGGGCATGACGAATCACGCGCCGGTCGAAAGAAATTCATTAGGAACCTTGAATGAAACGACCGGACATTACCATGAAAGCGTCCGGTCGGTTACGAGCAGAGCGTCCGATCCCAACATGATGACCGTTGACATCGAACGACTCTTGTTGAACGCATGTGACACGTGGAACGACATCGAGCGCCCGGACGTTGGGGTTACGAGTCCGGTCAAGATGACCTTCGGCCGTCGGTCACCCAGCGTTTTGCCTAGTGAAGGGGTATAACGGCTCTATTTCGTGGGGGCTTCTATTTAAGCCCCATGGCCGGTTGAAGCTTACTCTCTTGGCCATTTGCCTTGACATAGCAACCTTGTGAGCTTAGCCAAAGCCCTCCCACTTATCTCCATCATTGATTCATCATCTTTATGAAATTGGAAGAGAATCCAAGTGCATTGCTTAAGTGTTTGCATCTAAAGGCACTTTCGGTGTTCGTGTTTCATGGGTTTATCGCTTGTCACTCTTGGTGGTTGCCGCCACCTAGACGGCTTGGAGAAAGCGAGGATCGTCGGCGGAGGGTGGTGATTGTCTCTGCGTTCGATCGTCAAATTGTGATTGTGAGGGTTCTTGACCTTTCCCAACGGCAGAGCGCCAAAAGGTACTCTAGTGGATTGCTCGTGGCTTGTGTGATCCTCATCTTGTGTTGGTTGTGCGGCACCCTATTGAGGGTTTGGCGTGTGAAGCCAATTAGCGCGTGAACCTCCAAGTGAGTGAATCGCCACAACGAGGACTAGCTTGCCGGCAAGTAAGTGAACCACGGTAAAAAATCATTGTGTTCATCATTGATTCCAAGGTGATTGGTCTTCATTGTTATCCACACTTGTGATTGATTGGTTCATACATCTACACGGCGGTATAACCTTCTTGCCTACTCTTTATATTACCGCAAACTAGTTGTCAAGCTCTTTAGTATAACTAGTTGTGAGAGCTTGTTAGTTTGGTTAGTGTGGCTCTTTAGTTAGCTTTTGAGAGCACTCTAACTTAGTGTAGTGATATAGCTATTGTGTGGATATACTCCATCTAAACTAGAATTGTGGTAGGTGGCTTGCATTTTGGTAGACTAGCGCAAAACTCGCTTCGTCTCATAATTGTCTAATCCTTTTGTTAAGTGTTGTTGTAGAAATTTTATTAGGCTATTCACCCCCCTCTAGCCATTAGGACCTTTTAGGCCACCTCCTGCTGCCCCGCTGACGGCGCCGCACCCGGCCACCGATGGGGCCACCCCGGGCGTCATCGCGCGCCTCATGGGCCTGGAGTCCTGGCCCGCCACCACCACCGCCGCGCCGCCTAGACCGCAGAAGCAGAGGAAGGTGGAGGCACCGTGTTCGGACGGCGCTGCCGACTCGGCGGTCGTGCTGGTGCTGCCTACGACCCCAGAGCCGTCACCCTCCCATGCCCGCGCACGCGCCGACGGCGAGGAGCCACCACGGGGCCAACCTGCCGGCTCGTGCACGCGGCCACGGCCAAGCTGCTAGACCCGGGCACGGCGCAAGCGCTAGACTAGCACTCGCGTACGCTTGCTCTTCCCCACAGCACCGCAAGGATGGCCACGCCGGCGCCTTGCTTCACGGCTCGTCGGGAATGGCCGACGACTTCCTGTCTTGCTCTGACAGCTTGCCCTTGGAGCGTTCCGCATGGCTATAGGTACAGCCTCCTGGTCAACTTGCGGAGACAGATTGCGACACTGCCGCTGTCTCGCGTAGGGACGGCCATTGTTCCACCGGCAATGCCGATGCAGCGATCAGTACCAGCACAGTAGTGTTGCCTATAATGGATTTTGGTGATGAAAATAGGAGCAAACGGGGCTCTGATATGGAAGCCAAGCACAAGGAGAGTAGAGTAAGAAATGAGGTAATGCACACTTATGCCAGGGTTAGATCAAGCGGTGCTGCCGTTCAAACTGGAGATGAGAGGTTGTTGAGCAAACGGGCAACACCTACTTGGCCGGAGGTTTCTGGGATTACAGAGTCTGGGGCTTGGCTGATTCGACGTGCCTAGTTGGACGCGCTCTGCCACTAGGAAGGTTGCACACGGTGGTTTTGGTCCAAGAAGAGAGTTCGTGGGATCGATCACTGGACAAGGGAGCATGACCCGCTGGGATTTGAACAGCCAAAATGGATTACCATCCACAAGTAGGATTTCAAGCAATGGATCTACGCTTAAAAGGGGATCAGGGAGGAAGGTGGGGAATGATAGGGCAATCAGTCACGGGGAGGAGGAGAAATGCGATTGCCTTTACTTCTAGATCATCTACAAAGCCCGGTGCGCGAGCTTCGTCATGAGCAATATATCGAAGAGTGGATCCCCAAGTCGACTAGCACCTGATACAACTCAAGGACACGAGCGCCGGCTCCTGAAAAAAGATATATGGAAGCTTCACCATCTGTTATGTCTATTTCTGAGAAAGGTGAATTTAGCAGGCTGCTGAAAGCAAAAATCAATGAGCTTGGCATGTCGGACAGGATTGAGTGTACACATGATTCACCTTCAGGAAAATTGCCCGTACCTTTGCTGCAAAAGCTGATTTCTGCCCTTACAAATGACATGAGCACTTCAATCTCCCAATGTAGCAACTACTCTGGTGTGTCAGCACCCTTAAGTTGCAATGGAAATGTTGACTCCGTCAATCGAGAGCATTGTATATTCTCCAATGCTCAATCACCCAATTTTCATAAATGTATCAGGTCAGTTTAGGGGCAGGACCCTTCTTTACTATTAGTCTGTTACCACTCATTGTTTTTGTAGTAAATGCTGCTATGGTCGATCATGATGATTCACAACTGTCTTTTTATTCATGTCATTCTCTTTTCCAATTTGGTTAGTAAATACATGGTGTAGTTTTAGTGCGTGTAGTATTACATGAACCAACTTGTATGGCAGTTATTTTTGCTGAAAAAACATGTACCGTATGACATTCCTATGTGGTAAGGTACTAAGGTTATCAGTGCATGCATCTACTTATACAGTTTGTTAACCGATGTTCTACATGCATTCTTATACATTGAAGATTTTTGGTCCCACACAAAAGATTATATCGAAATATTTCTTATGGCGTTACATCTATCATCATTATGAACCTTTTGGTCCCAAAATTTTGAATATTTATCAATATTAAATCTGAGTTCAAATAATTGCAAGTTGTGCCAAATATGTTTGACCAAATTTAATCAATTGTCAGCATACAATAAAAAAGTCTAATTCCAAATTAGGGTAAAATCACAATTAGGCATAACAAATAGGAGGCAAAATCGCATGGGCATTCATGTCCTTTTGTATAAAGTTTAACACCGTTAGGGGTGGATGACGGAGCAAGGGTAAACTGGTGCTTCGTTTTGAAATCATAGGGGTAAATTCACAAAGTAAAAAAAACAGGACAAAATCACAATTTTGATACAAAACAAGGGTACAAACACAAGAACCCCGTAAGAAAAATGTTTGAATGCTTTTAGTCAAGTGATGCCATTCAAGTATCTTTCGCTTCAAGACTTATAAACCAATTCTCCAGTGGCTTTGGTTACCCTGTTCGCTTGAACTTATCAGTCTAGCTTATCAGCCATGGTATAATGTTTTTCTCTCACAACAAAACAACTTCAGTTGGCTTATTAGCCGTAGAAACCATCAGCCGAACAGCGGTTAAACCGTTGTTTTGAAAAAGTGAAGAAACAAAAACCTACCATGGCATGCCACCTGGTTCAAAGGAATAATAAACTATAAATGACTCTTTTAAATAAAGAGTATAAATGTTGGAAATTAGGAGTATCAGTCGCTCTCCTGCGCAACTGGCACTTCATTTCTGGAGAGAGATGGGCAATAATACCATAATGCCCACATTGGTTTCAAACTTTCAATGTAAAACATTACTACAGGATTGTAAGATTTCTCCACTAATGGCCACTTGTCTATTAAGAATTTGCATAAACTAAACCAGGAGGAAAATAAATAAATCTTGAGGAGATCTCTGAGATATCATTTGGTTGTTAGCCAACCAACGGAAGGCTACATGTTACTGTTACTGTTACAACCAACTAATTACAGGATTAGAATATGTACCTGCCTTAGGAAAAATTAGTGCTTACTAAGGCCACGTTTGGGACAGCTATTCGCGGCTCCAGCTGATGCGCTACTGTAGCTACAATGTTCATGAAGCTGTTTTTCTCCCTCCTTCTCAAAACAATGGAGAGCTGGTGAAGACAGGTTTTGTGGCCCCTCCGGCTCTCCGGTTAGAGGGTGGACCGGCGGAGCCAGCCCACCCAAACAGGTCCTAAATGATCAGTTTACCTCTCCTCAAGTACATCACTGCGTCATCAGTATGTTGGGACAAAGTGATGTACCAGACTCATAGGAAGCAAAATGTCCTGGCCTCCTAGTTGAAATTGACAGTTGGCACAACACAAAAGCATACACTGAGTGCTGAAGGAATCCTTTCACCTGCAAGGGAAAAAACAGTCACTGACGTTTCCCTTTAGAGCTCTTCTCTTTGGACTTTCCAGGTGCCCACTGAAAGTGGCCACAATTTGCTTCTGGATTTGATGCAGGCCCCTGACAAAATATAACAAGTGATGATCACTGTAAGATATAGTGCTGCATATTCTCTAAAAGGGCCATTTACATTGTTCACAACCTATTTGACTGTTTGGATGACATGATGATGTTATGTCTACTAACTACTGAGCAGCAAATTGTGAGTACATGTGTACCTGAGCACGAGCACAAACATAGAACAAACGGCCTATATTAGGGCCCTTCTTCACAGATCTCGGAATGCATGGTTCACTATGCCCTTTGCAACGTGGTAGTGTCATCTTCATCTTTTGTTGTATTCTCTGCCACTCTAATGCTGCAGCTGACGTTGAAAGTGAACAGGATGATACATTTGTATTATCCTGATCTTTTGCAGCTGACGTTGTGCACTGCATGTTTTCAGGCAGACTATCATCATTTGAAACACATGTTTGATTTGTAAGGTCTAATGCTTCTGCTGGAGTAACTAAGGTACTGGTACTGGCATTTACTGTCTTTGACCCTGGTCGCTCAAAAAACGACTTGATTGTTGGTTGAGACGATAAGTTGCATTTAATTTTCTTTTTTTGCACAAACTTGGCGCTAGACAGTGAAGCTTTCTGGCTGCTATGAGAGACGCCAATCAAACCTTCATTTGTCCATTGATCAAGATTTGTCCCCTTGCACGTCAAACTAGGAAGGTTACGACCTTTTGCAAACTCAGTTATACCAGTTGTTAGTCCTTCCTTAGCTATAATTGTATTCTCCAAGCCATCACTACAGTAGCAACCGACTACTGTATGTTCGGACTGAATCAAATTTGCAGCATTTTGCAGCTCATAAATTTTCCCTTTACCAAGGAATGATACTGCGAATTGTGACATCACTGGCAGTCAGTATTACACAATATACTGTAACTAGTACCACTTCACACAAAGTGCTCCACTGAGCCCAAGTATAACTTAGGGGCTAGCTGCCATATAAGACCAGATGCCTTACCAACTTACAAACTAATGAGCTCTGATGAAACTGAATATTAAAAGAACAGCACTACAACACCAAAGTGTAATGCACAGCAAACATGCTATATTAAGCATGACCAAAGATAGGGTTTATTTTATAACTCAGCCAAGCAGAGTGCCACTGCCACATAACTTATGAGTTTAGAAATCAACAGTGAACATCAGGAAAATGTGAAAGATAATTTGCACAGATCATTCTGTTGGCATAGTTGAGGTATGTGTCTAATAAACACATAAGAAAGCCAAGCCTGAAGCAAGTTATGATTTCCTCCAAACCAAAAATGATGAAGTGCACTTTCCTTAACCGAAACTTCTATGAAAATAAGTATGGATTTTGGGCAAACACATTAACACACCATGAAAAGAATATTAACAGATAAGAAAATGAAGTCCTTACATAAGATAGAAAAGTTCCATGAACAACTCAGCTACTTGCTTTAGCAAAAATAAATTCTACACAGAAACTGGTTTTAGCACAAACACCAAAACTGCAAAAGCAAGCTACAATTAAAAAAAACACACAGAACACTAAAATTCACTCACCAATACTTTGTTGCCGTCCACGGACCTCTGGAAGATATCTTGCAGCTGATGGCGGGATATTATGAACTGGAAGTTCAGGTATTTCTTTCAGTAAAATATAAACTGGAATATGATCAGATCCTTCTAGCTTACTACTTCTTCCCCCTTTCCACCTGTAGAGAATGGAAAGATTAAATCATTCTAATGTAACACAGCAAATCATGTACAATATCCACTTCATTTCAGAGAAAACTGATATCCAGTATTCTTTACTTTGATAAATTTTCAGAATTCCCTCTTTTGAAATGATTCATTATCTCACATTCTTCTACATGGCAACAAAAAATGCTATGGTCCTCCACAGAATCACAGTGATGGAGACAGGAACCGGAAATGAGAATGTGGTCTATTCTAGAGCCATAATTATACTCTTCAGCACCAATTTTCTGATTAAAACAAGTATACGCTCCTATCCTGCACAAAAGAAACACAGCAAAGTATGCTTTAGAAAGTAACACTTCTGCACGAATATTAAAGCAGTGAAATCAATTAGAATTTTTTTAAAAACAATTTTCAAAAGATGGCTATTTACTTCAAATCAAGCAGTTTTCAAAAGCGGTTCCTCAAAAACAATCTTTTTTATAGCTTTTGTAAGAAGCAAGTTTCTCCAGCTTATGGCAAAGCCCAGACAAAACTGGACCTAAGTCAACCATGGATAATGAAAATAGAGTAGACTCAACTCATTGTTACAACTTACAAAGAGTTCTATTTGACCAGTGTGGTTGCTTTCAGGTAAATATGAGCAACTTGTAAAAACAAAATCATGTGCACAAGCAGTTGGGTAGCTCTGGGGGCATTCCAGTACCTTTCAGGGTGTTTTGATCTAAAAGCATCAAAAAAGGGACCTCCGTGTTCTCTCAGCATGGATCTCAGCCATTCTCGGAACCTTTCATTAGGCAAATGAGAGTAAAAATGCATTGTTGTTTCCGGATGCTTTATAATTGGAACCATAGCAAAAAATGCTAAAAGAAGGCTTACATTTGCTTCTCAAAGCCAGGTGGCGCGTCACACCTGTCTATAGAAGCAGGAGCAATATTCAAATCACCAACAACAAAGACTCTCTTTCCAAGAGCCAATAGATGTTCCCATCTTTTCTAAGAGGTAATGAAAGAAAGAAGCAAGTATAAGAAGCATAAATATATAGGCAATAAGCATTGAAAAGATAGAAGTATTGTTGAAATATTCTTCATGAGAGATACTTATTAGCAGAGAGACACACAAAGTACCTGCAGTATCTTGTAAAACAGTAGCTTAAAACGAACCCGCTCTTTGTCATCTTCTTCAACAGCTGGGCCATATATGTTGAAAAGAACTAAACAAGTGGTGAACCATTATCATTATTACATACAAAACAAAAATCAAATACGCAATGAAAAAAACTTGAAAATGCAAGAAGTTATGTTATGTTCCTATCAAGGGAACAAGCTACTTACCAAAATGCCCATGATCAGTGATGATGCACCGCCCCTCATTGTCCACCCTTAGGAGGTCCTCTCTTGTGATTTCACCAAGACCCTCCTCCTCGACAGGCATTGCAATAATGAAATCCCCAACAGTTTCACTATTTTTTGCATAGTCCTGAAGTCCAGTAAAGCCTTCTTCAGCTGCTACTGGCAAAGCAACCTCCTGGCTGGAAAATGATGATGTTACTCGGCAAAATGTTGCAACACCTACAAAGGATTCGAGTACAGTAATTGACTGAGGGCGTGGTCCAATCAGAGTAATGCTGAACCCAGAGAACATCTCCAAGCAGGCAAGCAACTATGCATCAGTATATCAGCCAAATCAACAGACTGTGATTACCATTTGTGACACCATAACAACATACCAGAGTATGCTCCACGACCTTTTGAAGAGCGATTGCATGAAACAAAGGCCTCATATCCTTCAGCCATAATGACATCTGCAGATAGGTCCTGCCTTGACAATTTGGTCTCCTACAATACAGCAGGCATTGATACAGTTAGCTCGAATTTTTCTTCTTAATATAATGATAAGCAGCTCTCTTGTGTGTTTGAGGGGGAAAAAAAGTTAGCTCGAATAAATCAGTACACACAAGCCTAACCCCAGCTCGCGCAGTTTTACTCTTTGCATTAGACAGAATAAGCGATGAATTGCATCCCACCACAGAAACAATTCTTTGGTCAACACTAAACTAGATACATTCTCTCAATTTTTTCTTTTTGAATGTAAACTAGCAGGACCTGCAGATACATTGTCTTTTTCCTTATATGGGGAAAACATTGTCTTTTTCCTTGAAATGAAGTGTCAATCGCAGTAAGCTTCAAACTTCGCCCGTTTGCATTCCGTCCAATATCCAGTGAAATTTCCGCGTTTTAAGTGGGGGTCCGAGTGCGACAGTGAGTGATAAGCACAGGCAGGCAAGCACTACCGAGCTAGGGTTTCGGGTTTCGACACATGGGGGTTCAGTTTAGTGAGTGGGAAATCAGCAATTGGTCGGACCTGGAAGCAGATGATGTCGGCGTCGAGGGCGTCGAGGAGGCGGCGGAGCGAGCCGTGCTGCGCCACCCGCGGCCGCAGCCCGTTCACGTTGTACGTCACTATCTTCACCATCTCCAGCCGGTACCACAAGGCGTCACCCACGGTAGGCGAGGGTTCGAAGGGGAAACGCTTCGCTCTTCTCGCAAGCGGGGCGCGGACGAAGATACCGACGGCCGCTGCTGCCCGCAGCGGCGGCGGCGGGAAGCCGGGAACTGTGCAGGCTGGTCCTAGAGTGGTGTCCGGTCCCGACCCGAACCGGCGGTGGCTCTAGGCAGCCGTCCGATGGTAGTGGTGGGGCTGAGATCTCGGGGGTGAGGGGACAACCAAAGCAAACCCAAAACTAGAAATTTGCATCACACTTCCGACTTCTGCTCTGTGCAGGCTGATCCTAGAGTTTAGACTTTTTTTTATAAAAAAAATAAAAAAGAAGAAGAAGTTCAGAGTTGGAACGACAGCGCGTAGATTTGCTTGTTACCTGAAACCAGTTGCCCTGTGACTACACAGTAGTGAGTAGTCAGTAGGAGTACTGGCTACTGATCTTTTCCCTCGCTCGCTACCTCGGCGCGTCTGTACCTGTCCAACTGAAAACTGTCTCTCTAGCTCCGTTCGCTTCGATAAAAAAACAAGCAGAAACATTGTTCCAGCTAAATTGTTGTGACAGAAAAATACTGTTTCGATTAAAAAAGTAAGTTGAAAAAGATGAATTATAAGAGAAGTTGTCGATACAGAATTTCGTCCCGTGCCGAGGACATACGCAGCAAGCCGAAAGGGTCCGCTCGATGGAGCAGATCCGCCTAGCTTCAGCGCAAGGATGGTCGATCCTGCGCAATCCTCCCGAGACGTGCTAGTCAATTTGACCCTACAATTTACAAGGAAAGAAGTTTATCAGTAATTAAGGGCGGAACATGCCGGTGTTGCCAGACAGTCCCGAATGTACGGCTCTGAGAGCCGATATGAGAGGAGATCGACTAAATAGTCAATTCCAGTATATCCAAAAGAATAAATCGGTTAAAGCTTATGGAGGTGTGTAAGAAGAATCGGTTATCATTCAGAATAAATATCATTTAAGTAAACATTAATCAACGGCAATAAGATATTGATGATGGTCGGTTTATGCTGAGCCAATGATTACAAGTAATCGAACTCCTGTTTATATATAGAAACAATTCAACATCACTTAACCATCTAATAAAGATAAATCTATTGAATATGTTAGATCTTATCTATCGCCATGACCAGTGGGGCATGAGACAGAATCCTGCAGGCCGTAGAAACAATAATAGACTCGACGACCCTAACTCATTACTAATATCAGTGGGGCATGAGGCAGAATCATGCATGCCGTAATACAATAACAAGATCATGGGGCTAACATATTTTTTAACTTATCTCTACTTCAATGATCTCGTAATGTGAACTGTTCGTGAGAGCGCTTGATATCGGCTAAACAGCCGATTCAGGCATAGCGCACAGTTAAGGCCATGCCTTCTCAAAAACAGATCTATCAACCGACGATCCCCACTCCACGGTGCTAATAGTGGGGTGAGAGGCAGAATCCCACAGACCGTGATAACGTGCCATGAAACGGTTCTCGTTAACTAATAGATCTACTCAAGATCGAACATACCTTAACCGCACGCTATGCATGATTAAGATTGATGTAAAACAGCCGATACAAACATAACTCATCGTTTAAGGCGTAGATTAGATTAATTTTATATTAGCAAACGATGGGTTAAACAAGATATAAGGCCGATCCAAATTAATCTCAATCGGGCAAAGTGATATTGCTGTAATTAGATCAACAATGAAAGCAATAAGCAATATCGGTAACTTAATGAATCTATCAAAGACTGTCATTCAAAGGTAGAGCCGATAACTTGACCTTGATCTAGTTCAAGCAGTGGGATGCGAGGCAGAATCACACAAGCCATACTTGAACTAGGCAAGAGTCGATAACTAGCCTATACCAGAGTCGCAGTGGGGGTCGATCGGATCGATGCAGCCATACGAACAGAGGTATAAACCATGACGGTACTTACAGACAAGCAGTGGAGGTCGACCGGATCGATACAGCCGTACTCGCTGAAGAACTCGCCGAGATTTACTTTACTCCTACTCCTAAGGGGTGGCCGGAGCCGAAAAAGTAAATTGACTTGTATTTGATTGATTGTGTTTCTTTTTACAATAGCAGGGGTTTGATATTTATACCCAGAGTCTAAATATGAATCCTACTCGATTTGTTACAACTTTTGGCATAAAATGAAAACAGTCCTAATTTAAGATAACTTGGACTCTAATCTTTTTCTTTTTGTAGAGTCCAGCATGTCTCGTCCCAGCGCTAATCATAGCCTCTGTCGTTATCTGCTGGCGCTATCTGAAGAAAGCCGATTCTAGTGCCATATTCGAATCAGCTAGTTTTTATCTACACGCAATTGATCCCTTACTGACATGATTCTGGGAGCTCTCGAGCCTCTGAAATCCTTCTTTCAAATTCTGGTGTAAACACATGCCCTCCAATTTTGGCATAAAAGTAATTTTATTCCAAAATTATCACGTCATCTTTGATGGGTTTGTAGTCACGAGTAGAGAATCTTGATCTGGGGTCTACTGTTTGTCGCCGCCTATGTCAGCTCATGAGCCCATGCTTCACAACTTTTATGAGAGGATCATTGTTTCACGGGTACTTGGACTCATCCTTCCAGACCGGCTATAAAATGACTCTCCGACCCCGGCGAGAGCAACTCAACCACTCGGTTATGTTTCTTTTCTTTCTATAGGCGATATGTATCGTACCGACATTTGTCCCTTTGAGTTCATTTTTTGCACTAAAGGCGATACCCTTCTGATATCGGCTATTAGAGCTGTCGACCGAACAAATTGGTTATTTAAGTGTTAATCCAAACGTTGGGATAATATTTCTTCAGATATTTCCCATTGATTGCTCGACCGAACTCTTCTTCTCCTCCTAGTGTCTCCAGAATATACGCATTACTAGGCGCACAACGCTTGATCCGATAAGGCCCTTCCCAATTGGGTGACCATTTGCCAAACTTGCTGTCCTTTGACCCGATTGGTAATTTCACTTTTCAGACCAAATCTCCTTCAGAAAATTGCTTATTCTTGACCTTTTTATTGTAATATTTTGCGACCCTCAGATTATTGGCTTTGATATTTTCGAGAGCGCGCAGCCGAAGGCAACTCAAGTCTTCTAAGCCATCCATCATAAGATTTTTATAGACTCCGGCTATCAAATCGTTTTGTAACATAACATGCCTCGATCTGATCGGAACTTCCCAATGAAGGACTATGTTATGGCCATATACAAGTTCATAAGGTGATGGTTTAATTGATCCATGACAGGCCATCATGTATGCCCATAGTGCCTCATTAAGCGTCGAATGCCACTTCCTTGGTTGTTCCTCAATTTTCTTCTTGATCATAATCTGATTGGACGCCTCTGCCTGGCCATTAGCCTAAGCATAGTAAGGAGATGAATTTAGCAGCTTGATCCCCATACTGGCAGTAAAATCTCCAAATTCCTTTGATGTGAACATGGTCCCTTGATCGGTAGTGATGGTTTGAGAAATCCCAAAACGATACACGATATGCTCCTTGACAAAATCAATCATGTTTTTTGAAGTTACCGTTTTCAGGGGAATTGCCTCAACCCACTTGGTGAAGTAATCTGTTGCTACTAATATGAACTTATGTCCTTTGCTCGAGGGTGGAAAGATCTGGCCAATCAAATCAATTCCCCAGCCCCGAAACGGCCATGGCTTGATTATTGGGCTCATGGCCGACGCAGGTGATTTCTGGACATTACCAAAACATTGATAGTCTTGGCATCCTTTGTAATATTTAAAGCAGTCTTCTAATATCATTGGCCAGAACTATCCAGTCCTGTGAATAATCCATTTCATCTTATAAGCCGATTGATGAGCCCCACATATCCCTTCATGCACTTCGCCCATCAAAACCTTGGCTTCTTCTTGATTTAGGCATTTGAGTAATGCCCCATCGATGGTTTTATAATACTGTTGGTCATCCAGTAAAACATACTTAGTCAATTTATACCTTAGCTTTCTGGTAACTTTTGTGATGGATTTCTGAGGTAATCGACTATCTCAACTCTCCAATCATTGTCCGAGGTTTCATTACTTAGGATTTCTTGAACCACTCGATAACCTGGTGCATTTTGAGCCAAACGGTTAGCTTCTTGATTCTGCGCCCTCGGAATATGTTGAAATAAGACATGAGGAAATTCCCTGAGCAACCTTTGGCATTCATCATAATATCTCCTCAGAGTATCCTCTTTGCACTCATACAGGCCGATCAGCTGATTAATAATTAACTGTGAGTCTTCAAATATTTCAATCGCTTTGGCCTTTACCTCATAAAGAAGTTGAATCCCTTTGAGAACAACCTCATATTCTGCTTGATTGTTGGTGACCATTGATTCGGTTGGAAAAGCAAACTCAAAATTTGCCCCTCGAGGCGAAATAATAACAATACCAATGCCACCACCTTGCTTACATGATGACCCATCAAAGAATAACGTCCAGGGCACCGGTTCTACATGATTCATGCTTGGTTTATGATGCTGGGTGACGAAATCAGCTATTACCTGCCCTTTGACTGCTTTAGCCGATTCGTACCTCAAGTCGAATTCTGATAACGCGAGAATCCATTTTCCTACTCTCCCATTTAGTATCGGCATCGATAACATGTGCTTGATTACATCAGCCTTGGAAACAACCGTGCACTCGACCGATAATAAGTAATGTCGTAACTTGGTGCAAGAGAAGTATAAGCACAAGCATAACTTTTCGGTGGGAGAATATCTTATTTTCGGATCTAGAAGCCTCCTGCTTAGATAGAAAACTACTCGCTCTTTTCCTTCAAACTCTTGTATCAAGGCCGATCCAATCGTTTTGTCATACAATCTAAAAGGCTTACCCTGCTGAGGAGGGACCAGCACGGGCGGACGCTTCATATACTCTTTTATCTCCTCAAACGCCTTCTGTTGTACGTCACCCCATTTAAATTCTTGATCATTCTTTAATTTCAAC